GGCAGAAAAACCCCAAATTTTTTTTTCCCACCCCACCACTTTGTGACCTCAAAGTGGAATTCTCCCTACCTGTCCCCTTGGAACCAGGGCCCAAAAGAACTGGAATTTTTTTGAATTATTCTTTGACCAGCCATTGAGGAAATTATTGTCATGGAAAGTAATAAGTTTTTCAGTACACCAGGGCAAATACATCTTTCACCACAGCAAGACTAAAACATGGAAAGAGACGCTGTGCAGAAATGTATTTGCTTTTTGCAAAAATAACTTATCCCCACTCTATAAACATAATTAAAGCAACTGGCCAAGTCGGCTAATTTTTACCCCATCCTTCAGTGAAAAAATCCAGAACAGTTTTTCTTTCTGTTACGATGTTTCATTTTGACAAAACCCGGCCTGAAGAAATGACAGGTTATACAAGATTTAAAAAGTTTTCATGTATCCAGTTTAGATATACTTTTATCCCTTTAAAAACTTGTAATTGCGAGTCTTTGATTTTGTTTAAAGGAGAGTCATTCAAGCTAATACCGAGCAAGAGGAACCGCTTTTGGGATAAAAAATTTTTGTACCCTGGATTTTGACAGTGGGCCCGGGGTTGGATATTTTTGTATACAGGGGAGAAAACTTGAAAAATCCAAGATGTTATTGGGTTTCTCGGGCGTAGTGAAAACAGATGGCACCTTTCTTGGGAAGGGGCCCTACTTAATACCCTAACGGTACCAAGCCCATTACTTAGGAACAGCGATGAAAAGCAGATTGTGTGGCCATGCTTCTAATCGTAAACATATGCCCCGGCTAACGCAGGTGTTCCTGGGGATGACGTGCAGGTGTTTACGCCCAAAGACTCATGGCATTACGGTGGCAGACAAAAGAGATGTCACATTTTTGACAACCTTCACCGTAATGAAATGCAAGACAGTGGAAAGTTGATCGAGTGCAATGAACGTATTCGAAAAAACCCGTGTCAGGATTGATTATACACAAAAAATGCGTTGGGTTTACAAATGTAATCGATTGGTTTTGTTGACTGTGTTTTGTAAGAGTTTCAAGTGGTACTGAAACTTTTCTTCCATCTCATGGACATTTCAATGCTGAATGCTATAATATGTACCAATAAAACTGGTAACAGACCACCTATGGTGAATTTTGTTTGTTGTTGTCAGACAACCAAAAAGAAGTACCGAACAACCCCTGCAATACAAAATGGGCCCGAAATTACACAATTACCCCAAACGTTGAGGGGAAAGGTGATTATTTCATAATACCTTCCTTCATCTCAAAAAAAATTTGCTCGAAAGATCTTGTCGTGCACAAAAAAAAACGACGGCAACAAAAACGCAAAGACACTCCCGGGTTTTTTTTGTGAGAAATTAAAGGGGCCTCTGTGCAGGTGCCCTGGCATGGGGCCCTTGTTTCAAGGGGGTTTCCACAAGCCCAGCAGTTCTAAAAAAAGTCCGTGTTGTAAATATTAAATTATGATAGAACATTAGTATTATACAATATTTGTGCATGTTTATTGAATAAACAAAAGTGGTAAAAAATATATAAAACTTTTAAATGCGGGTTTTTGTGTTCAATACTGATTTATTAAAATCAATTTAAAGTATTGGGCTCTCAGGCCCCAAAGTTGGGAATAGAAAAAAAAATGGGAAAAAAAAAGAAAAAACAACTAAAACAACAAAAATTAAAACGGTGTGGAATCCGTGTTGCCGCCACCACTCTTTTTTTTAAACTTCTTGGCCTGACTCGGTAATAATACAATTTAATTTTTTTTTTTTTTTATTACCTTTACAAAAAAAATGCTCTTTAATTTTGTAAGAAAAAATAATTTTTTTTTTTTTTAAAAAAATTTTTGGGCACTGGTGTGTGACTTTAGATTTTGGCCCTTTGGGCCTTGAAAGGGTTTAATTAATCTTCTTTTTTTAAACCCTTTTTAGGGGCCAAGGCCAAAATCTGAAGTCAGCACCGTTCCAAAAAATTTTGAAAAAAAAAAAAAATTTTTTTTTTACAGAATTAAAGACATATTTTTTGAAAGGGAATAAAACAAAAAAAATTAGAATCGATCATTACTTACCGAGATACAGTGCCAAAAAGTTTATAGAAAATGATGTGGTGGCGGCAACATGGGAATGAATTCCACATACGCTATTATATATTTTGTTGTTTTAGTTGTTTTTTCTTTTCTTTTCCAATTTTTTCTATTCCTACTAACATTTGGGGCCGAGGACCAATACTGTATATAACTGATATATATAAACTCACTGTATTGAACCCCAATAACCGCACTAAAGTTATTTTTCATATTATTGTTTACCACTGTTGTTTATTACAATAAACATGCACAAATATTGTATAATACTAATGTTCTATCATATATTTACAATTTACAATCACTGGACATGGTTTTAGAAACTGCTGGAGCTTGTGGAACTCCTTGAAACAAGGCACCATGCACAGAGGCACCTTACATTCCTCACACATAAACCGAGTTCTTTGCGTCTTTGTTGCCGTCGTTTTGTTTGTGCACAGACAATGCATCTCTTCTGAGCAATTTCTTTTGAGATGAAGGAAGCTGTATTATGAAATAATCACCTTCTCTCCTAAAACGCTTGGGTATATCGTGATGAATTCGGGGACCATGTTGTATTGCAGGTGTTGTTACCTGGTACTTCATTATGAGTTGTCTGACAACAGACAAACAAAATTCACCATACGGTGGTCTGTTACCAGTCTTTATTTGGTACATATTATATACATTCAGCATTGAAATGTCCATGAGATGGAAGAAAAGTTTCATGTACCACTTGAAAACTCTTACGAACACAGTCAACAAAACCAATCTGCATGTCACACTTGTCAACCAAGCGCTGTTTTGTGTATAATAAAATCACTGACACTGTTTTCGAATACGTTCATTAGTCACTCGATCAACTTTGCCACTGTCTTGCATTTCATTACGGTGAAGGGTTTTGTCAACAATGTGACATCTCGTTTGTCATGCCACCGTAATGCCATGATGTCATTGGCAGTAAACACCTGCACGTCATCACCCGAACACCTGCGTTGAGCCTGGGCATATTTTTTACGATTAGAACGCACTGTGCCACACAATCTGTCTTGTTCACTCGCATGAAATCACTGTGTACCATTATCGGTATATAATGTATGGCCCTTACCAAGATAAGGTGCCATCATGTTTCTCACTACGTCACCTGAGATTTCCCAATAACATCTTGGTATCTTTCAATGTTTTACTACCCGTGTATACAACAATATCCAACACCAGGCCACTGTCACAATCACAGAGTACAAACAATTTTTAACAAAGCGGTTCCTCTTGCTCGGTATATACTGCTTGAATACAGTCTACCTTGAACAAAATCAAAGACTCGTCAATTACAAGATTCTTGAATGGATAAAAGTTAATCCTGAACTTTTGTTTGAGATACATGAAAACATTTCTAATCTTGTATAAACCGTCACTTCTGTCAGGCCTGGTTTTGTCAGAGAAGTGCAACATATGTAACAGTAAGATAAAAACCGTTCACTGGTATTATTTCCTGAAGGATGGGGTAGAAATTAGCTGATCTGTGGGCCGTATGCTTTTATATTATGCTTTTAGACGTGAGCATAAGCATTTGTTGCAAAAAGCAAATACATTCTGCAACAGTCGTCTCTTTCCACCTGTGTAGTCTTGACTGGTGATAAGATCGTATTTTCCATGTGTGTACTGAAAATACTTATTACTTTCCTGGCAATTTAAATTTTCCCTCAATGGCTGGTCAAAGAATAAATCAAAGAATTCCAGTTCATTGGCCGTGGTTCCAAGGGGACAGGTAGGTAGAATTCCACTTTGAGAGTCATCAAAGTGGTGAGGCTTGGGAAAAATTGGGGTTTTGCTGCCAATCCTACATACGGTTTTGTGGTGGTACTGGACATCATAGGCTGGTTGTACGGGTGGTTGTGGTTGTGGCGGGCTGGTGGCTGAGCTCCGCTTTTTCCTTGAACTGACGAGTCAGCAGCGTGGGTCCCCGTGGCACGGTGAGTCACGCATGGCGGTGCCATACCACCACCAGCACCATTAAAACCATCCACTGATGCCTGTGGACATCCATGCCCAAATGTAGCCACATCATTTCCCCACTATCACTACCTAAAACGGGTGTAGGGCCACGGGATGTACTCCGTCCCCTGGGCACTGCATAGGGTTTCACTACCTGAGCGCAGCGGCGGCGAACATACCGACGCTTCACTGGTGAATATTGATTCCTCACTATCAGTTCTCGAATGATCGTCGAGCGCAATAAAATCACAATCCACGTCAGAATCATCGTCATTACTGAAGTCAGGGCCTGGCCACGCGAAAATATTAGTTTTCTCTTCGTTTAGGAACACCCGACCGTGAGTCACGAGTGCCCACCCCAGAGGTAGAAGGTCGAGGATCGTCGGGTTTTCTGCCCTATTATCGATATCCTGGTCATTATTTTCGGTCACTAACTTATCAAAGCCTTTTAGAATAGTCTTCATTGCACTTCCATCAGTGTCAGAACTATCAGACAGGAAAAAAGTCCCAATTTTCCGGGGAGTGAGAGCTGACTTGCGACGAGGCATGGTGAACAAGGGTGACTGAGCCGGCGTTCCCACAATGCTAGAGGCCCCTAGATTTTTTGGTTTACGGCGCACCCCCACGGCGCAGACCCATTCTTCACATGGTAGGCCTATAGCGCTTTCGCGCTAAATTTGACAGCGCTAGAATTTTGGCGTAGATCTACGGTTTGGACATTCACCGAAAAGCCGTAGATCTACAGGAGGGGACCCTGAAAGGGTTAATTAAAAGGCTAAACAAACTTAATAGTTTGGGTGCAGACTTGACAAGAATACTAAAATGACTATTTTTTTAAAATCTCAAAAACATTTTTCCATGCAAGATATTTTTTATAAGTGTAGTGTTTGAAAATTTAATTTAATGCTGTGTTTTTTAAAATATTTTGTTGTCATTCCAGGGATGCCTTCGTTGTTTCCATAGGCAACTGCCTGACCATTTTTTTTTCTGGTTTTGTGATCTTTGGCATAATTGGCTTTATGGCTCATGAGCTGGGGTGTGCCCTTGACAAAGTTGCAGTGCAGGGTATGTAGTATCCCGTTCCACAGTGGCATCTTACTCTCAATCTTTTTTCAGGGTTTTGTATATCCTATAGGTAACTAGGATTAAGATCTTGTATAAATGGCTTGAATCAGTCTGCCAAAGTTATCAGTCATGAAGTTGTAAATTAGAATCCCAGAGGGATTGCGAGGCTTAACAGGTTTCAATCCATGGTCATAAAATGGAGGCTGACACAGAAACTTGTCTTCTTTCATTTTACTCCTATCATTGAACACACCTGGCCTCTTAATGTCAAAACTGATATTCAGGGCCTTTTTATAGAGATTTTTTTCTGTGGAGATTGGTTGTTGCATTTTCTGCTTTAATAAATAATTATTTTTTTACTTTCCAATATGGCACAACAAATGTATATATTCTTGAAAGGTTGAACCTTAAAGCAGGAAACCTAAGCACTCAGTCTCCTGTTACCTTATAGGAACTCTGGCTCACATGTCCTCCATTTAAAGACAATTTTATTGTATGTAATTTAAATAAAGTTTGGTCAAACTTTCATAAACAGATTTAATGCAAAATTCACTACAGTTTTACCATATATATGGTTATTGCTCTGTTATGCTGGCATGTGAGCCAGGCCTCTAGATCACGATCTCCGTAATATACTATAGATGGTACAGTAAGTCACGGACCAAGATACTTCAATGACTAGCTTATGGGTTATAAAATTATCATATTTCAAGTAATATAATGCTAAAGTTAATTATTTCACAATAATTAAAAAATCTGAAGTCATATCATCAGTGTCTGTTCATACCTACCATTTTTTAGATTCAAGTTAATCCTTAATTATAATTCCATTACCAGAAACCTGAAGACATGTCATATACATCATGTCATGTAGTAAGTAGCCCCCTATTCTAAAGCCACAGTCATTTAAGAGAGCTGAATGAACTGGTACGTATGGTAAACTGATGTTATAAGTAAGTGAGAGCACAGTCCAAGTAAGTTAAAAGTAGAAGTGTGTACTACTGAAGGACAAAAGAGACCACAAAGAGGTAACATAAGTATTGTGTACATTTTTTGCATATCTTGCAATTTCTCATTTGTCATATTTTTGATGTGTACCTGAATTATATTGTACCTGTATTGTATTGTTTTCATTATTTTAAAATGTAATACTCATAATATTAGTTACAGAGAGGAGAACTACCCCTGTTGTAAGGGCATTTGTAGGTAAGCTTTTGGTAGTATTTATCTTGTAGTCTGTAGTTTACTGTTTTGTAGTGTTTTTTGGCCTGCTTGAAGATACTGGTATCTTGTGTGCTCTCTGGCATACACACATCCTTGTCAGTCACGGTGTTTCTTACCATTTGTCCCTTGGCGAGTTGGCTTGGACACTGTGGGCGCGTCACTTCATCACCAGTAGGGTAGTATACCTCCACAAACAGTTCTGATGTGGAGTCGTTTTATGCACGTTCTAGGAGCGGGCCTGGCGTTCGTGGCTTACCCCGAGGCCGTGGCCCGCCTGCCTCTGTCTCCGGTGTGGTCCATCTTGTTCTTCGCCATGTTGCTGACTCTGGGTCTTGGCACGCAGTTTACTATCCTAACTACCATCATCACCACCATTACTGATGACTTCCCAGCCCTGCGCGGCAAGAACTTCAAGTGAGTCTACCCGCCAACACCTCAACGGCAACATTCTTCCTCCAGCCATGTATAAATTAACAGTATTGTGGTATGAACTTACATGTGGTATGTACCTGTGTGACTAACATTCATTCATGGCAGGGTATCAGTCATCTGGAGCACTGGGCTAAAAGGCCATTTTATGATGTTAATGCTTTATGTGATTTTTTTTCCCTTGCACAAGCATCAAATATGCAACAACTGCAGGTGACCAGAAATGCTGGCACGGACTTTGCTGCTCCATAAATTGTTTGTGAATCCTTGCTAAGGCAGTGGTTACCACTGGTACATTGGTGTCATATGCCCCAGCCTGCACTGGCAGCCAGTTGTCTTAACTGATGACTTTCCACTGGCTCCTTGGTAAACACTGCCACAGCTTGATAAAAATATTAATCATGTGACCTTCTACTTAGGAAAAAATTGCCATACCAAAATCCTCTGCCTTCTTGATGGAGTGTGTCCTCAGAACACTATAAATTGTGTCATAAGTGCTCTATCATTGCAATGGCTTTTGTAATATGATACTCTTATTTATGTGTAATGAATTCTTAATATTTTAAGTGTTCATATTTTTTATAATAAGCAAAATGTAATTGTTTAAGGTTAAATAATTGTTTCATAAGTTAATGTAGCTTGTGCTGCCTCATGTTCTGAAGTGACATGGTTTGTTCTGCAGATGGGCCTTGATGGTTTGCTGCTTAGTTATGTACGGTGTGGGACTTTCTATGGCAACAAAGGGTGGAATGTACGTCTTACAGATGATGGATTCTTACTCGTCTACCTTTTCGGCTCTCATGGTTGGTGTGGCTGAGGTAAGGGTTTCTAAAAGCACAAGATAAATGTAAATGTTAATACTCTTGTGAATCAAGAAAATTCTTAAAATACTATACCAAAATCTGCCAAGGCATCCAACATTGCATTATTATTAATGTAAATTGATGGAAGTGCTGAACCTGTAAGGGTCATACAGTACCTCGGGGGGATGGGAAGCAATCAGGTTTGATTTAGAAAAAAGGGAGGATTGGTCTAATTCCTTGGATCATGAGCCCCTCATCAGCATCCTATGAGGAGTAGATGTCTACCAAGAATTTCTCTCAAGTCAGTTTTTCATTTTGCTTCTTGAAAATAGAAGTGTAATACTTCTCAATTTACTATAATGCCTTTCCAGTACCATACTGCTTTTTCACTGCAATTACAGAAATTCTCAGTCTGTCATTTGTGCGTGTAAGCTCATTAGGTATTCCTATCATGAGAATAAATACACTTGCAATTTCATTACTGTAATTTATTTGTCTTGTCTGTTCTATTTAATTGCTGATGGGATCATGACAGAAATGTTAATTACTGATGGGATCAGGACAGAAATGTTAAAAGCAGGGGGGGATATAGTGTTGGAGTGGTTGGTATTTTTGTTTAATAAATGTATGGAAGAGGGGAAGGTACCTAGGGATTGGCAGAGAGCATGTATAGTTCCTTTATAAAAAGGGAAGGGGGACAGAGAGAGATTGTAAAAAATTATAGGGGAATAAATTTATTGAGTATACCAGGAAAAGTGTACGATAGGGTTATTATTGAAAGAACTAGAGGTAAGACAGAGTAGGATTGCGGTTGAGCAAGAAGGCTTTAGAGTGGGTAGGGGATGTGTAGATCAAGTGTTTACATTGAACCATAGTGTGAACAGTATTTAAAGGTAGGGAAGTTTTCATTGCATTTATGGATTTAGAAAAGGCATATGATAGAGTGGATAGGGGAGCAATGTGGCAGATGTTGCAAGTATATGGAATAAGTAGTAAGTTACTAAATGCTGTAAAGAGTTTGAGGATAGTGAGGCTCACGTTAGGGTGTGTAGAAGAGAGGAAGATTACTTCCCGGTAAAAGTTGGTCTTAGACAGGGATGTGTAATGTCCCCCATAGTTGTTTAATATTTTTTATAGATGGGATTTTTAAAAGTAAATGCTAGGGTGTTGGGGAGAGGGGTGGGGTTAAATTGTGGGGAATCAAATACAAAATGGGAGTTGACAGTTTTCTTTTGCTGATGATACTGTGCTTATGGGGGATTTCTAAAGAAAAGTTGCAAAGGTTAGTGGACGAGTTGGGAGGGTGTGTAAAGGTAGAAAGTTGAAAGTGAACATAGATAAGAGTAAGGTGATGAGGGTATCCAAATGAGTTAGATAAAGAAAAATTGGATATCACATTGGGGAGAAGGAGTATGGAAGAAATGATGTTTTCAAAATTTAGGGGTTGATGTGTCACGGTGGGTTTTGAAGGATGAGGTTAACTATAAATTTATGGGGAAAAACGGCAGTGGGGGCATT